AAACTTTATCACTTTTAATTCAATGGATCATCAAGTAACTCGAGCGAGAATTATCAAATTCTGCTCGTCTTTGTCGCATACGAAAACGGCTCTGTAGGAAAGCTCTGTTCTTTCAAGCGACACAACATCGTACATCTGCAGTGATACGTCTTAATCTCGCTGTTATCAACGGGCCTAGTAAGACGATGAACCTCTTGCATGAGTGCAGATTCGACACTCAGAGGTACTCCTCAGTTGGGATGAGAGAAGAAACCACGTGCCTACACCAGGAGGATTTTGACCCTGAAGTTTTAACTCGTATGAAATGCTGAGATATTTGCAAAACTCCGGACCACAGGTGTATGCAGTGGGAAACGAACACACGCTGTTGTCCTTACCGGGGAGCAGCGCACTTCACCACTACACCATCAGGTCCTGGTCAGGTTTTAGTTTTAGGCCTGAGGTTTCAGTAAAAAATATGCTATAGAGGGCACAAAACCAAGAACACGTAAAAAATGCTGGAGCTATTTTAAAAAAGCATATGTTGCCAATGGTGCTATCCTGCTAAAATGAAATTTCGACTGTTTAGAGGCTATGATACATATTGCCTCCCCTTTTATACGGCATGGCTTAAGCTAAGAACACAACCTTAAATTTCCTTTTTAGTCTTTTGGAAGCTTAAGTTTCAACTTATGTGTGAAAGAACGTTTTACAAAAATTGAACTCTTGACACAGTAATATCGGCCGCTCATTTTGAGTGCCAGGCAAATAACTAACTGGTGGCGTAGTTTTCGGTCACCATCGTGGTGAATTGCATGTGACGCAAGTCGGCCAAAATGCCTCCCGCAAACAAGTGTGCCTATTTTTTGACTGAATTTTCGCTCTATTATAAAGTTTTTGTATCTGTTATTGGTAATCAGTGTTTTCTTTTTGCATCATTTATGTTTCTCTGTGTAGCTTCCTAAGGTTTTAGAATATATACAACTCTTTATAAGGTGGTATAACCTAGTCCATAGCCACCTCAAGATGTTTTAAGCATTTGGCATGGTTTTTCGAATATGTAATCCCTAATCCAAAAAAAGTTTAATCATATTTTTAAGCGTAGAGTAGAGCCCATCCTTAACGGTGCCAGTCATAACATCTTTGTTTGACAGGCTGTCAAATGGTTGTAAAAATTTCAGCAAAAAGCTCTTTCTTCGAATTAATCGGCCGAAAAGACAGTGCTTCGTGTATAATTCACTGCTTTAATCCATTCTCTACATTTTTGTCAACAGTGTCATACACGTATATTTATTTACATTGTTTTCGTTAGTCTCCCAACGGCTTACCGCCTTATCGTGGCTGGGAGGTATTCCTGGGTGTCGGACTGCGATGCACAGCGGGTGATTCATCCCCTGGCAGGGTCTCCTAAGCTGAGAAGGAGTCTAGCGTTTCTATCAGGAAGCCTAGCTAAAAGTAAACCAATACCAGGATCCACCACCGTTCTGGTATCAAAGCCGCATTGTCGCAAATCTCTCTCTGATCCACAAGGGCTACGACTGTCTGTGGTGGTAAAGACCTGGGGCAGACATCTGGCCAGGCTGACCTCGGGTTTCCAGGAAACCACAATTGCTTAACCAGCAAATCTCTAAAAAATGGAGATTATAGGGGGGGAGGTCCGCACAACCAGTGAGGACGGGCCATTCAAGTGTCAAGTGTGTCAAGTGTGTCAAGTGTTTTGATTATACAGATATATACTGATTAGTAAGGGCGCGTGTGGAGCAGTGGTTGGAGATGAAGCACGTGGAATCGATCCTAGTGCCCATGGACCACCAAGCCTTCCATCCTTCTGGGGCTGGCGAATTGTCAGTATTGTTTGGGAGGGTAGCTACACTGGATCGATACAACGGTACGCCACCACGAATTACTGTGAAGTCCAGATATACATTCAATCACCTCTAACGATACTTAATGAAGTCGAATGCATGGCGCATCCCTCAGGGATTGATCAACGGCGAGAGCTTCATTTATTTATCCTTTCATACTGTTTAGCAGCAACCTTTGGCTTTACAGTAAGCTTGCATTCAACTGAGATTCGAGTAGCAATTAATTCGCATTTGAACTGGTTATAAAAGCCCTTCTAATATTTTAGAGCATTAGAAAACATTGTTTTTTTAACTAAAAAAAAACTAAAACTCACCAGTTAAATGATATTCCACCAGCAATTGTTCTCGAAAACAACTAAAAAAATATTTGCTTTCTTCTCAGTAACTGTCGTCCATTGTTGAAAATCAGATGTCAATAATAATTTTTAAATTTTTCCCGCCAAACAAACATTTGCTATATTTCAGCGCCAAATGTCTAAAAGCTTCTTCGAAAGCCACAGTCTTTCGGACATATTAGTTGTGGCAACCAACAGGCATACCGAGATCAACGTTGGTGGTCAGTAATTCTGACTGTGAAGAAGTTGTTCTTTATTCTGTTCAGGAAAATTTACTGGATTATATTTTTCTTTCTGGAAAAAAACTACGGCTAGTTAGAGTTTCTCCAAGTACAAAGTAGAAACGCAAAATCCGAAGACCTACATGGAATGCGGATATGAGAGAGACAACGAACTGAATTGGTTAAGTGCTGGGATTCGCAGATTACGGGATGTGTGGCCATATAATAAAATAGATCACAAAGCAGCAAATAGATCAGCAAGCAAGTTGTGAATCCTGTGCTTTGTCAGAATTTTTTCGAACACTAACGAAATACATAAAGCTATAAACCGTGAAAGATGTTAAATTTTCAGAACCAATGCTTTACATTTTTAAATCGAATACCAAATCCACAAAGCTAAAGCTAACAATAAATACCTAAGACTTCCTTAATGAATAATCAATAAATTTGGTGGATCAACGCTGGCCACTGAACTGGAGAGAACTAAACGAGACATTCTCGCTTGCGACAGCATAGATCGGCGCAGGTGGAGAAACTGCGCACTACAAAATTACGATCCACGATCATTTGTCGCTACGTTTTCTTACTCACATTCTTATCTTTTCTCTTTTTTTATTTCATGGAACTTCTGTTGATTCGGGTGCACGAACGCAACCCAGTTCGGTTTCGGTGAGCATCTCTTGGTTGACTTTTGTTATTTGCGAACGTGATAGATAATTATTCGTATTGTAGACAAGTTTGGCACGTTTAACCATAAACTAAGGCAGAAATCTAACCGTAGATTTAAGCAACTCAAAAACTACTGAAGGTTAATTCGTTTCTGCCAAGTGTCATCTTGCTCATTGGGTTCTTTCCACTCGAGAGACTCAAGTCATCGGTTTTTGATATGATCCTCCTACCTTAATTTTTAATCTGGAAATAGTTCTTATTTCTTATTATGTGAAGTCAGGTGAAACTTGAATGGTTTGAAAATACCAACTATTAGACAATTTCTTCGAGACGCTATTAGGTGGGGAAGCACCCCTGAAACACTAGCTATATTTCAGGCAACGGGGGAGTGAAATATAGCAACGCTTGAAATTATTGACAAGATCGGAGCCACTAAGAATGTGGTTTCCAATTACCTGGAACGCCAGTCCTGTTTTTGATTTTTGAAAGAGATAATCAGGCTCAAGATAGTGTTCTAGGGGCTCAGTAAATATCAGGTTTTTTCTAGCATCTGACTAAGTATGAACTACTGGCTAGCGGTCTTTCCAAAGGTCGCAAGTTTTTTTTGCTCTACATCTTTCTCTCTTTGCGTATACTATGAGGATGCTCAGATTTTATTCTGCTAGTGTAGCGCACAGGTCTCCGACCGGTGAGCAGGGAGTGGTAAAGTTGAATAGATGTCCTCGATGTCGAGTGTTTTGTGTCCTTCCCACTATATATACAACACTCCGAAATTTCTACTTTCGACCTAAGCGGTTCTAAAACCACGTTATCCATTTTAGACGAGCATTGTAAAGTTCAGCTAGTTCCGAGAAGGAACAGCACCCATTAAAGAGTCTTATACACACGACAGAAAAAAATGACAGGCTTGGTGGAAACCTCTCGAGCCACTCGACCATCAAAAGCAAAACGAGCGACACAGATAATGAAAAACCACCTTCTTAATGGGGTCTAGACTGTCACGCATCCCAAGCTTTGTTTCATTTCGCCGCCCCGCTGCCTGAAATCTTGAGTGCGTTCCGGCGTTTTTTTCTTATCTAATAACATTTTTCGAGATATTCTCCAATTGTTGGTGCTCAAAGTTTTCGAGTAACATCTGGCTAGAGTTCTACTCGACATCGACAAATGTCGCCGAATCTCTATGCTGCGCCTCTCTTACTATTCCTTCTTTGAATACATCCTTAGCAAAAGGGACTGAACATTCAATGAAGGACAGGCGCGGAAGTACGCAGAATTTTACCAAGTGCATCATACCCACTTTTTACGAAGCTCGCAGAAGTATTTGTCACTGATAAGCTCATACAAGGTCTATAAAAAAAACTTCATTCGGTTAACGTTTCAGCGTCTTCGCCTCCATCTCCTTGAAAGCTGGGTTGATCAAAGTCGATTGTCGAATTTCTTTTTTAATCACCGTCAAGCTAGCTTACCAGGGAAGCGATACATATTGATCGTTTATGCGTAGGTTAAAGAAAAATTCGTTTTTGAAATTTTGTTAATCTCTGTGAAAGCTGATATTGAAGCACCAATGAACAATCAGTGTGAACAACCATTCAACGTAAAATAACACTGTCGAGTAAGGTCACTTCATTCGAGTGGTACTCCAAGTGGATTCGACTCGATGCGATCACGAAAAACCAAATCGCAGGAGGGCGCAATTGTGGGCAATAGACTCGAATCAATGCAGCTTCGAAAAAGGCGACGGCGCTGAAACGTTGGCCCGGTAAAGTGTTTTATCAGTATCTTTTTAGGTCATCAATAAAAAGATAAGTATTGGTTTGCCGTGCCGAGGTTAAAAAAAGTCGGTTTTTGAAATATCGCTTTTTATCGAAGTGTTCAGAAAGTAATAATGCTATGATATCATCTTTTCAACTTAAAAGAGGAGTCAGTGCTTGATGAGCGGCGTCATCAGTAATGGTCAGTGATAAAGTATGATCTGATTTGGTGGAACGGCAGCATAATTCTGATCAAGTGAAATCATCTTCTGATTATCTTAGAGCGAATCTCGAGTCGCCAAAGAAGAATTTGCTTGTAACTCTAAATTAAGGGAATTTGGCTTTCTATCCAAAAAAACTTTTGCGACGGTCTGATGGAACTTGTTATATTCTAACAGAAATTTTTAAACATTATTGTGCTTTTCATTGATGGCCAATGTGAATTAAAAGTTCTTGTTGATTAGTTGATTTGTTAATTTGTTATACTTATTCTTTTAATTACTAAAGCCACTAGTGGGTTGTACTCACTCAGCTCTGTTGTTAAAGAAATAACTGCTGTGCTTTCCTTCCTTATGCTCTTCAAGTATCAATTTGCAGCAATTCAGTGGACATTATTTCAATGGATTCTCAAGTCAGATAGTATGTTGTGCACAATTTTACCAAATAATTCTTCTCATGTACCGTTTCCTCACTCAAATAGACCACGCACGTTTTCCGTNCGACTACATGCCAGTAAGTCTATTTATCGTTGCTATTATGTAAATGTTATGACGCTTTCATGCTTTCGTACTAGGTGTTACATATATTTAGTACTAGGTAATGAGCGTGGTCTATTTTTACTCATATTAAAGATCGTGGTCCCGTCTGTATTCGTGATCTGCGAGTGCAAGATGAACGTCCTACTGGATGTCCTCCTCACTTAATCAGTAACTCATTCAAATCCCAGTTTCTGAACTGTAGCTGTCCATTTAATGTGGACAATAACGAATCTGGTTAGTACAGCAGGTACAAATTGACTCAAACTGCTAATTCCAAAGTTCCGATGAAAAATATTTCAACCGTTTAGTGTCCAAGGTTCCACAGTTTCCAACACTTGAGTTGGTTGGGACGGAACCGAGTTCTCAAGCACCAGCTCTATCGTTACCGATCATCAGCTCCTGTGATAATTTCGTATGCCTGAACAACGGAACTTGTGTTATCAATCAGAAGGGATCGGTTCGTTTTTTGAAGTTTTGCTGCTGTTGCTGTTTTACATTTTCCTCTTTCGTTCCAGTGCTCATTCCGTTTTCTTTCGTGTTCCCTTTTGCTTGACTGTTTTCTGTGTGCAGGGATGAATACATTGGCGAAACGGGCAGGCCTCTCTGTGTCCGCGTAAAAGAACACCTAGCCGGCAAACGTCAACCAAATACCCCACTAGGCACGCATAGGACCCAGAGACATAACGGGGAGGACCATGAAGTACGTGTCACGATCACAAGAATCGAGAACACAAGCGCGCAAAACTCTCGAGGCGTTTTGGATTAATTCCAGAAATCCGAGAGTGAACCGCAAGGAAGAATGCCTCATTATCACGCGTGATATTGGACAGTTTTTAAACCTGTTATTCTGATGGGAGGGGCACATTACGTTTCCATGTAAATTCTGTGTGGTTGGTCTCCACGCGGCATACTCAGTGGAAGCCTCATAGAAAGCTGTGAGTGTGCAAAGACTCTGTGTTCAATATGATTGAAATCTTGGTTTAGCGTTTTTCCTGTTTGGTTATGGAGGTGTTTGGCCGAATAGATAGCTGTCAACTTGACCTTTCCAGACTCTGACGAAAGCGAAATCCGCCGAAACATCAGCTTATTCGTGAATAAAGGATAAAAATAACACCTCGCGTTTCCTGAACAAGAATACGAAGAATTACTTGATTATTGCAGGGCTTAATAGAAAGTCGGTCGTGGGAGTTACACTTTTATGTTCGATAGCAAACCTCTTTTTGTGCTAACACTTAGACATTGCTTCTCTCGCATGACTTGTTATGAAAAGGGCTTTCTTCAAATTTATAAAAGTCGCTTTTGATGATTAAAGGAGAATTTTCTCAGGCATTATTTGTCATATTCACTACACAACATTAGAACATGTGCACAATTCATGGAATTTTTTAGTTCGTATCACCATTTTAGGCGGCATGTCTTTGTCAGAGTGGTTTTACTGGAACTGCTTGTGAAGTGGACCTGTGCTCGGAATCACTCTGTCAAAACGGTGGCAACTGTCGGACAAATGGAGGACAAGTCTACTGCGAGTGTCCACCTGCCCTTACTGGTGTTGTGTGCGAATCGGTTCGAGCTGATGGAGCTCTAATTCTAGATAACCATGCAATTTAAAACGCTTCTTGCAGGTAATAACAGCATGCGATCCTCCATGTATGAATGGCAAATGTATTAGGGAGAACGGAACGACCCATTGTGACTGCGACTATGGATTCATTGGCGTACTATGCAATGTAGTAGATGTTTGCCTCAAGTATGCTGTTTCGTATTCAAACTATTTCTTTCTTCTACACGGGAGGTAGAATAGTCTCTGAAACAGATTGGAGAAGCAATATGATGAACAAGTGTCTCATGGAATACAACAATAACTGCACAAACTAATCAATATGGCAGGGAGTAGATGTAGCATTTAATCAGCTTTAAAGCACCGGAGATTATTAAGACAGTAATAGATGTAACATGAAACAGCTACTACTACTTATGATTATGGCAGGCCCAAGAAGTGAAATTTACAAGGCAAGGTGATACGGGAAGCTGAAAACTGAGACACCGTTCAAGCGAATGAAAAGGATGACTTCTGCTTTTTCAGCCTGTGTTTTCGGGCGAATGGAGATGATAGGGCAAAAAAAACTACGGAGCGTCTCTCAAACATCGTGAAGACGGAGCAGACGTCAGTAGCGATACGATATCTGCCCACTTCCGGGGCAGTTTAAAATGGGGGCTGGCTGGTGAGGCTCACATCCCCACGTTTTTGCCGCTCTGTTTTCCTTCTCTAATAGAATTATGTTACCATACTTCATAAAGGATAAAGCTCTGGGCGTTGATCTGTCCCTGAGGGATGCCCCGTGCCTTTGACTTCATTAAGGATTGTTGAAGGTAACTGAATGCGTTGGAGGTATCTGGCCTTTACAATGACTCGCGGTGGCCTATTGATGCATCGAGTCAGTGCTGCTATCCTCTCATACACGTCTGGTAACAATATGCCGACCTCGAGTTTTCAAGTGTGCAGACGTAAGAAAACAACTGATTTGTGATGGAAACCCTAGCTGTTAGACAAGCTCAATAGCTATGAGAGACTTTCCTTGCCATGAAATACGGAAGGAGTTCATGTAGAGCAGTGGTTGGAGGCGCCTCTACGCTTCTTTCAATTGTTCGCTTATCGTCTTGCAACTGCTCGTCCATGAAGAAGATCGAATTTATGTGTGGGTTTGATTGAACTTGACTATCTGCCCATCTTCTATCGTCAGTGAAATATTGAATGCTGGTCGAATATCATTCCTTCTTGAGAGAGTTTTCTTTCGGTTTTCCCATGCCTTCAATGCAAGAAGTAGCTGGCCGTTACGACTGGGAAGGAAGATTTTCTTCTTTCCGACTAGGTTTAATACGGCATGGCAGTGTTTCCCGTGATAAGTCAGGATATTGCGATTATTAATTTACAGTCACAGCTTTAAAATTTTAATAAATCATGCTTTTTCGGTTAGACTAAGTGTATTTGTAACCACCCGGAACGTTATTTGTGCTAAAGAAAATCCTAAGTAGAAATGAATGGAAGCTGAGAAAAATTGGTGGAAATGGGAACAGAATTGCACGAGAAAAACAACACTAAAATTAGCCTTCTCTTCTTTTTATGGTTAAGAGATTTCATAAAGTGATAAAAAAGATGCATGATGGCTTAACAGGTTAAGAACTTTGTTAACTATTCATGAAGGCTGTTTTACAGGCTTTTCAGTATACTTGTTATTCCAAGGATCTGCTCAGCAGACAATCTCATTTATCAATTCCGAACTCGACAAGAATCACCACCTCTTGGGATGGATGTCACCGTATAGCATACACCATAACATCACTCAGAACTGGTTCGTGTCTGCACTCACTAGTTTGATTGATGAAGGCTTTCAGATGCTTATATTCAAGTCGCTGTATTGCCTCCAACTTTCCTGGATTTACCATATTTTAAAAGTGTATGAAATCATATCATTGGGCGAAAAATCGCAGAAAAGAACAACTTGCTTTTATAAGAGGACAGAGTGGACGATATGAATCACTGTCCATTTTCAGCCAATATTAAGGCGTCATTGCTTATTTGCTGAAAAACCTGAGTTCAACCGTAGATATTTACGCTGCAGAAGACATGAAAGATAGAAGAATTTCGATTCCATGTATTACACTTGCATATAACTTGGTCAATTAGTTTTTCCTTTCTTCATTGTTCCAATACTTCTTCACTATGAGTTGTCTGCATTGCTTCTTTATCAATAATGTACTATCATAATCGCAACTTGGGGTACTCCTAGGTAGCGAGCCACGATGTGTTGCAAGGGTTCTTTTCCTGGTAGGATTTCTCATGCTTAGAAGGAGTTCCACACAGCAATCCGGAATCCCATCTAAGATCACCACCTAAATCGGTGCAATTCTTCACTAGCGGCAGTACTGAGAACAACGTTCACTAGCTGTAAATTGACAAAACTCTGACATGATCTTCATATTTTTGTTGAGCAAACACGAGGTTTTATTATTCTTTGTTCACAAATAAACTGACGTTTCGGCGGATTTCGCCTTCCTCAGAGTCTGCCCACTATTCTCCTCCAGTGACGGTCCTCCAAATACTGGGCACAAAAGTTTTCCTTCGTCTCGCACTTCTTCCACTTGGCGAACATCTGGTTTTGTCGGCTTCGTAGACAGGTGCGAAGTATTCGTAATTCGATGTCCAGTACTTGGTGACTGTCCTCTGGTAGTCCGCATACGTCGTGTAGTCGTCTTCGTTTGATGAAGTTGGGAACGACTTGATGTTTTAGACAGCGGCGAAGAAAGTAGGCAGATATCGTATCGCTGCTGACGTCTGCTCCGTCTTCACACATCATTGTTGTAGGAGCAAACGCTTTTCACTCATATCTAGTGTCGTAGTGTCGTACAGTCGTACACTATCTAGTTCTTAGTGTCGTACATATGTGGCATGGGGAGACAAACAATAATGGGCATAAGCTTCTTACAATGACCTGGTATCGTTGTTGTCATTGCTCCAAATCCTTGAGCCACATCTGTATAGGCATAAATCACTATTAGAAGTAATATGTAATAAAGTTACTATAGTGAATATATCTATATCTAAAGATGCTCATTGATCCACTTGTTGACATATCGACTTTTTAGGAAATAATCGTCGACTTTATGTATTGAGGATCACATCAAGTTCCACAGCAAATTGGCTTCAAGGGACAAACCTAGTAAACGTAAATAGTACAAGCTGGGTACATGGAAGCATATCCATCCACATGTGAAGTTTTGTAAATGCATACAAAGAGGTTACAAGTCTATCTGATGCGGCTCAGCCAAGTACATCTATTAGTCCTCACACAGCCTAACTCACATATACACACCAATGCATACTGTTCACGCCCCCCCATATATGCATTTGTTTGGGAAATCTACAATAACTTTGGTAATTGTACTATTTGTACCAACAAATAATCTCACCTGTAAACATTCCTGGCGATAAACCAATCAAGAAAAATGACAATGCTTAACAAGACTATATACTGAGTTAAGCATGTTCTGGGTTCGCCAAGCTAGGTTCGAACAGTAAGCTTTAATTCTGGAGAGAATGTGCAGATATTTTTAATACAATTTCTGACAAACCTCTGTGTACGTTTATATAGAAATGGCTAGCAGCTTCTCGAACTGTTTCTTACCATTACTTTGGACCCACTAAAACCGGAATCAGCAATAGAACACGGGTCTCACTGCTCGCAGCTTTCTAACAAATGCACTTTATTTCTGAGTATCCGTCCATCTCTCCTACAACCAGATTCCATATAACCGCCATGGATTCATTTTCTGTGCATCAAATCAAAGGCAGTTCACTCACTCTACACTACCATTGAAGAATCAAGCGAGAAAGTAACCAAACTTGGCCTCTCATCGCCGAGTTGATGATCATTACTTTCGTCAACTCATCTTTTGCTGACTTTATTCAGACTTGTGGATCAAGAACTGTTTGTTGCTTACTTTAAGATAAAATAGCATAACGGATAAACGGTTATCATCACATGGAATAGGGATCCACAAACACTATTTTCGAAAGTTACTGAAATACACTCTACATATAGTACGAAACTGAATACCAAAGCCAAACAGCAGGCGTTGACGACGGAAGTGGGAGATTTTTTTCGAAACCGACCTTCCCTAAACCTCGGTGTGACTAATCAATATGTATTCTTTTTTGATAAGCTTGCACGAGGTTGATAAATATATTTATTTTCGGCTAACGTTTCGACGTCTTCGTCTTCCTCAGAGCCGGTGATCCGAGTCGATGGTCCATGCTTGTTGTTCGCCTCGACGTTGCGTCTTCACCTTCCTGTCGAGCCAGATCTTCCTCAGCGAGCCATCTTCTGTGGGAGATTTTTTTGCCACATACAATACAGCGAAGAGTGCAAAGTATTTATAATATAAATAATACACAAAAAATAAGCCATGAAATTGTACAGCGAAAAATACGAAAACTGGAAAGCCCCTATCTTTTTTCGGAAGGGGTGTTTCTCTGGTAACCATTAGATTTAAAGGATCACGGATGAAAACTAGGCGTCACTCTGGGCCACCATTATCGTGAAATGGACGTATTGGCGAATGTGCTCAAGTGATATTTTCCATTATAATACAATATCGCCAGTGCAATAGCTCAATTCATTGAACCATGTATAGTGAACTTTTCTTGTATTGCATTCAATGCAACGATTACAGTTATTCAAAGCCATTTTATATCAATAAATATTTACAATAAAAACAATATGTGCAGATGAAATCATTTCATTCCTTCGGCAAAACAGTGTCCACCAGTTCAACAACTTGTTTATCGCCATAAGGTGGCTTACCGATAAGATTCTTTATGTCATCGTAGTTGAGCACCTCTCTTTTCAGAAGCTCACGAGATATCTTAGAAAAAATATTAAAAGTGTGATGAAACCACGAAGAGGATCGGAGGGAAATAGAAATTCCAATTTGATTGTTTGAGGAAGACATCTTATTTCGTTCTCATAGCATAACTAACATTATCTCTTCGGACCGCCTACATACAGGGAACTTAATTTTTTCCATAGTTGGAGATTAAAAACGAAGTC